CTCTCTGTGCCAGCACAACGGCGGCGGCACGGCCACACAACGGCAACATAACGGCAACAGCACCAACTGTTGCCGTTTCAGAGAAATGTCGGCATTTATCTGAAACGGCAACAGCCTTGCCGTTGCCTGGGCCTGGACCCGCCCCCCCCACACACGCAGTGCGGCCCATACGGTCCTGCACCACAAAAACGGCCGAAATGGCCCACGGGCCTTTTTTTTTTTTTTCCCTTCTGTATTTTTTTATGGCGACCAGCAATATCAGGAAAAAAACAGAAAAAAAAATGGGCGTGCAGGGTTTTTTCAGCCCCGCACGCCCATATATATATATATATATATTTGCCCTAAAATATACAGGAAAAGAAAAATCCTGCACCAAACTCGGCCGTTCGGCCGTGGCCGAACTTGGCCGATTCGGCCGCCGAGCGTGGCCACGGCCGAGTTTTTGCCCCCGGCCGTGACCGGGCGTGCAATATAGCTGTCCGTATCCCCGCACTCAATTTCCAAAAATCCTTGGCACACCCCATTTTGCTGTCCGTCAATGGCCCCCTTCCGCAATCGAAAACACCCCGAACGGAAGACAGCGGGCGTGAGGTTGTGCGTCACATCTGCCACACCCCCTAACTACTCTGATCGGCGCCTGAAGTACGGAATGCCACACGGGGCGTGAGGTTGTGCATCACATGCTCTTGAACCACAGACGACAAATTGATGGCAACACACGGTTGTCGGTCRAGGCGCACTCTCCAGTTTGGGGCCRAAATCSGAGGAGCCTCAGACGAGTCCTCAAATCCGGTGTTTKGCAGGTGGGGCGATCCACAAAGTTCGACARCACTCCTGTGAACCGTATCCTGACCGCTCTCGAAATTCTTTCTGACTGCAACTTTCGGGAGTTGGTGTGGCGATGCAACTTCACTCCAAATCGCTGTTTTGGAGATAGGTGTGGCGAGGCCCCGACTCTCCACTCTCCAATTCGTGAGTGCATTACGAGACACAATGAAAGCACTTAAGACAGCCACCATCTGGATTTTGTCCTCCCTGACTCCAGGAACACTCTCCAAATTCAGGGTCGGACAGTGCGTTCTTCCAAGGGATCGCCACACCACTCGCAAAATGTGCAAAATGAGAACGAACTTCCCATTAGAACATGGCCAAATGCACCGGCCACAATTTTGTCTTTTTCACATTTCGACAGTGGTGTGGAGAGGCCTTAAGGAATTTCACAGTTCGGGAACTCTCCAACCCTGGAGAGTGCTTTTCTATGGTGGTTTCTGACAGCTATGRGAGTTTTTTTGGGGTGGTGAATGAGAGAGTTAGGGCTGGACCCCACAGGCCAAAATCTTGGAAAACGGGCGACRCGAGTGCTTTTCTCGGACCCCACTGGAAGAAAGCGGGTTCCTGGAAAGTGTTTTTTTTGTCRCGTTTTCCTCTTCCCGGGACCCCATAGTCTCGAAAAGTGTTCGTGGAAGATGGCACATTGACGTTTCCACATGTGGTTTCGGTCCGAAATGTGTCATTTTCCGTAGTTGACGCACGATTTTGTGGCAAACGGACTGGGTAGAGGGGGGGGGCTTGAAAAGTCTGGAAAACTTCGTTGCACGACCCGGGTCCATGGAGTGTCCGGTAGGTGGCACCTTGCGTTCCAGCGCCCAGGAGGCGGACAAGGAGACTGTCGCACGGGGCAGATGGACCGAACGGGAAGGGGACCGTTTTTCCCCGCATTTCTTTCCCCACTTTTTTTTTTTTTTTTTTTTTTTTTCCCGGCATACCATGACGGCGGGCTCCAATTTCAAATTTGAAATTACGAACAGCTGTGCATGGTTTCTTGTGCGCTGTGGAGCCGACGTAAACCTTCCCTGTAAACTGCATGAAGACACCATCGCCACACTACACACAGACGCACACCGGTTCCACACACCTGCCTGCAATGCGTGCTGTTGCACCCGCACTTCGTCGCAGGTCCTGTTTTTGGCCCGACTGCCATGTCCTGCAGGGGTGGCCAGCGCTGTCGACAACCCACATACATGCACGACACGGCTCCCCTGCGCACACTCACCCTCCTCCTCCCATGAATCTCACCCCCCCTCGGTGTGGCCTCTTCTTTCGTCCGTTCTCTGCTCCGCCGCGGGTTGTGCATTCTGGAGAGACGAAGTGTGCGGCGAAGTTCCGCGTCGCATTCCCCAACCTTTCGCCTCCGCCATGCACCTTGGCGGCTGCGCTGCCACCGCCAATCAGACGGCAAACCGGGGCCCCGATCGATCGATGTAAGGTCGATGGGCAGAGACCACGTGTGGGAGGTGCTGAAGATGGACCGATTGACTGTCAGGCGACGTGTGTGGAGGGTGCTCCGGCGGGGAATGTCATCTGCCACTCGTGTGGGATGCCTCGTGCATGTTGCATGCCACAGGTGGTGATAACCTGCCCTCGATACGAGTGCTTGCCGCTGTCGTTGGTTTGCTGTGGCGTTGAAGGCGCCATTGTCATCACGGCAGTCATCTTCTTCCTGTTTGGTTTGATACTGTTTTTGGTTGCCGTTGTGGCTATTGCGTACATCATATCAAGGCTGTCACTTCATAAGAGAGAGAGAGAGAGAGAGAGAGAGAGAGAGAGAGAGAGAGAGAGAGAGAGCCATGGACGGAGGGGGGTTCACGTCGGAGCTGATGGCCGATTACGACGACCCAGCAACGATGGAGCTGGGACATGCAGGGGACACACGTTACGTGGAGCGTCGTGACGGTCGGCATGCATACGGGGGGTCAAAAGAGTGCGTGGACAGCCATGCCGACCGATACAGGTCGGTACACCGTGGTGGAGGGCGAAGTTGGTGTCAAACACAGTTCGACGTTGTCGAACACGGAGTGCAGCCTCAGTCACGGTACACGTCGTCGGGTCCGGGAGGTGGTTGTCATGTATCAGGTCCGGGTGGCGATCGTGGAGGATCGTCTAACGTGGATGCACTTTCGTATTGGGGACGTGGCGACGGGCAGGAGGGTCATGCACGAGCTTGGCGTGGAGCGCAGAACGAGAATCAGCCGGCATCTCCATTTGGCATGCAACAGAGAACGGGAACCACGGGGCAGCAGCGTCCGCCATCACCGACTGCCAACTGGAATGTGAATGACGTCACCGACGTGGGTTCTCGTCAAAGGCTGATGAATAGTCGTAGCCGATCATCGTCCTCTCCACCGGTGCATCGGCCGACACTCGCAGATGGTCTGCAGTCTGCAGGCAGCATGCAAGTGGGAGTAGGTCATGGAACGTCCGCGGGGTGGCGGGCAGGGCACGACGCACCGGGATCCGCAGTGGGTGGTGGGAGATGCGACTTCCCTGCAGAAGAAACAAGGCAGCCTTGTAGTGAGGTTCATACATCTGACGACCGGCGCAGCAGTCCGATTGTCGACTGACCTCAGAAGGACACAAAATCTTCGACGAGAAAGAGACGTGGCAGCGATGCGACGCCCACATCCAGTCCCGCACAAGCGGAAGCCACCCCGTCGACGGAAGAAAACAACCAAGGAGGGAGGGGTGGCCGGTCCAGACGGGCTCCCTGACCGGAGGGCACGACGAAGAAACATGTGCCTTGGTCGTTGGAGGAGCGTGTCATGCTGGTGAGGATCTGCGGCGAGGATGATGCTCTCATGGCTGATGCGAGCGGTGTGCATAAGCACAAGACGAAGCAGGGGCGATTCCAGTGGATCTCCGACCGCATGCGTGACGAGAACTTCTTTAGGACATCAGAAGAGTGCAGGAAGAAATGGAACTCTATGAGGGACACGGTTGCTTTGATCAGGGACAAGTGTGAAAGATCGGGTTCGGCCGGGTATTTCAACATGACGACCGAGGAGCAAAAGGAAAGGGAGGTGTGCCCGGCGTTTGAACGGCCTTTATGGGATGCTATGGAGTGGTGGCGCCTGAAGGCATCCGCCACATGTGACAACACCTTAGCGTCTGAGGAGCTCGGGGGAAGTGGTTCTGGGTAGGCTTGCGGGGGGGGATCGGAAGGGGGATGCACGGATGCATCGGACGGCGGGACGAAGACACGCAGGACATCCTCCGGTAGAGCACGCAGGGAGGTGACGGCATCGAATGTTGGAATGATGACAGCGATGGAGGATTCCACGACGAGGCTATGTGATGGACTGGACAGAGCGTCATCTGCGTTGGCACGTGCAACAACTGAAAACACAGCGATGGTTTCTTCCCGGATGGGTGACATGGCGGTCCAAATCAGCGCTGTTGCCGGCGCCATGCAAGATGGGAACATGGTCCTGCAAAGTCTCGTGGCGGTCATGGCGGTGAGGTGAGCACCTTCCATGCCGCACGCAGCACCCCGGCGGTGGTGTGGAGACAGACCCTTCGTCCAAGTGAATAGCGCGTCGTCCTGTCATTGTCGAGGGGTGGGTGGGTGAATTCGGCGCGGGTTAGGGGCTGTCAGGGGGTGGGTGGGTTTCTGCGTAATGTGAACCCCAAACAACCCCCCACCCCCTAACCCTAAGTTTTTTGTTTTTTTTTTTTTTCACATTTTCTGTTGTCAGAGGGCCATCGGAACCGATGTCAGCAGCGCCTGTGTGTGTGTGTGTATCGACGTGGATGGCGTGAAGCACATGGCCAGAATCCGGATGGGGGTGGGAAAAAAAACAAACCAAAGTAGAATAACATTTTAAAAGGAACATGAACAAGGGGGAAACAAAAAAAAAGTCGTTGAAAAGCGACCGACCTCCGGTGCTACCCGCGGATGCGTTTCGGCCAGGAGACTGCGTGGCAACCACGGCTGCATGCCCGTATATAGGCCGCCAATTGCCACCTGTGAGTGGAAGGACGGCAGCGCGGAGGACTCCAGAGGTGGGCTCCGCTCATCGTGCACTTTGTCGCATCTGCTGTGCAACCCGGCGGGGTGTGTGTGTGTGTGTGTGTGAGAGAGAGAGAGAGAGAGAGAGAGAGAGAGAGAGAGAGAGAGAGAGAGAGAGAGAGAGAGAGAGAGAGATGTCGACGGGTGTTGCATGGAGGGAGATAATACGTGGGCAGTCTGTCATGTGCTATGAGGACCTGCACTGGCGCAACGGCTGGTTGGGCAGGGAACACAATGCGTTGGGCGAGGAGATCACTCGTAGGGAGACGCGGTTCTACTCCGTGGACGTCGACGGGCGGCCAGCTGTCGACTTGGATGTGGCCCTGGGGTTTGCGAGGGGTATGCTGTCACACGTCCTCTTCTGGGTGAAGAAGACTGGGGAAGACATCCCCAACGACTGGGTGATGCTGGCGCACGACATAGTCGGCGACATCGTGCTGAAGTGTGTGGAGAACCTGGCGACGGTGCACGACGGGAGGCTTGATATGGGGGCGTCTGTCTACATGTTCCTTGATCCGCCGCTTGTGGGTCGCGGCTATCTGCATGGCGAGATCCGTTTGTAGATGGGGAGGTTGGGGGAGGACCTCCCTATACTTCTCGATGGCTGCCTTATGTCGTTTTACTAGGTGGGGGTG